GGAGGGCGAAGAACTTGAGCTGTCGTGAGATGATTGTCGATAGCAGAGGGCTATTGCTAGTGAGATCGTATAACAGTATATGAAGAGCAAAATAGCTGAAACTGAGTGGAATGTAATTATGTTCTGTGGCAGGCTTGGTTCTGTTAAAACTACTAGCTCCAAGTTTGACCTAAGAGTGCGGATAAGAGAGAGGCTTCTACATATCCTACGCAATTATTCTGTCTACGACAAGGTAGATAAATAAATAAATAAAATAAATTTTTAGACTTTATAGAGGTAGCACAATTACTAGTGCACAAACAAGGACAGAAACGAATGAATACTGTAAATCCTCTATTAAGCCCCCCTCTCTAATAAGTCCTCCCTTTTCAGGGGAAGAAAGGTAATAACCCCCCTCACTTTTAAGCCCCCCTCCATTCCCTATTATTATTATTGTTATTATTATTATTATTATTATTATTATTATTATTATTATTATTCACTAATAAATTATACACTGTATTAATCAGTCACGACTGTAAAACTTCGCGTGCACTGAGGATGGTTTATTCAGCAGCTGGAAGTTTTAATTTGCTTTTGATCCTCGGCTGCCTGACCTCCAACTTTGGGTACCTGAGCTTTTCCACTTTGCATTCTAGTTCTTTCTGGTGCGCTGATACCACTTCAAAGAGCTATTATACGAACCTCCCAACCTCGAAATATGTTCCCCCCCTCCCCTCTACATTTCTTAAAAATGTGGACCTTTCTCCATAAAGAGAAGAAACTGTTGTCGTTGGTTTGGTTTGTTTTAGAACATAGTAGAAACCAGGAATATTGCCAAAATACACTGATGTCGACATCGGTAAACCGCGATATTTCATCCCAAGACAGTAACATCAACAGTACTTAAAAAAGATATCGCGATACAGTAAACACCCGCATATAAGAACACAGGATTTCGGAGGTCAGGCTGATTGAGTTCTTATTTATCGGGTGCTTAATGACAAATCAGCCTCAAAATGTTATTAAAATGTTCTTAAATGTTTATTTAGTAATACTATCCAAAACATGTTGCTAGAGGTATATTTAGCATATTTTAGGAAAATAAAATAAATAATTATGCTGTAATTTGATTATATTAACAAATGAAGTTATCTGACAGCAAACATAAGTTACATGTTTTGTAATTATGGCACTTTTTCCATTTTATAAGAACATGTTACAATTTTGAGCCTGATCTTAGCTTGGTCTTATAAAAATGGGGCTTTATTAGCCAAATTTCAGCCTGGTGTTCTTTATCCATGTGTTCTTGTATGCGGGTGTTTACTGTATTACGATGCAAAAATATTTACGACATCGACACGTTTCGTGAAAGTCAGTGTCTTCAATATCCCTTACCCACAATCGCCCTACAATGGCTAAAACAGTGCTTGATGAAAGCAAATGAAAACCAAACAAGTATACCACCAAACTTACAGTTCCTGAATTGAGGGCAAAAACTTTAAAAAAGGCAGTTAAACCAAATTGCTGATAGAGTCATTACTGCCAAATTCATTGAGGGTAAAAGGTAGAGTAACCATATTTTATGTCGATCCTCGTGACAGTGATAACTGATAAAATTGAGGTCGACGGTGCGCTCATTTTACCCCCACCCCCTCTCTCCATCAAAGCTCCGTTTTTAAGGGTCTTTAAAGCTAGACAAAGCTACACAGAAAGGAGAGAAGTTGAAACAAGGAAGTGATGTCACAGGGGATCGAACTCGAGACCTCGCGCACCGACGGCCGCACACTAACCAACTGTGCCACCCTTGCTCCTATCGTTGCATCGCGCTGCGCGTTTCGCAAACTTCGAAGAAATTTTGCGTCTTTCTGTTTCGTCAATCATTTGAGTGGGGGCGTGTTTAATGCGAATCACATTGCAAAGCCCTCGTCCAGCTTGGCCCGCAAAAACTAAACTGAGAATGACTCTAGACTGCTCAAGTATAGCGAAGGAAATCACGATGGTGAATGGAATTTTTGGCGAGGAAAGGAGGCTGGCATTGCCTTATTCTTTCAAGTGACAAGAATAAGGAAGATCAGAAAAACCTCGAAGCAAACTAGTCGACTAGTGCCCGAAACGGGACGATCATCGACAACGAACCTTGAAACATAGAAACAAACAAAACGGATCGAAATTCACCAATCACAAATCACAAACTATGACTTTTTGAACTCGTTCTAGTAAACATGTGTTATCTAAAAGGTCCGCTAAGATTGTAAATAACTTCGAGTCGTATACTGTAATTGAAATTGCTTTAATTTTCTTTGTGCCTATTTACAGTACAACCTAACCCAGATGTCGATGTTGAAGAATGTTCCTTGAGTCGAAAAAATGCACAGATTATGTGAATATACATTAATTAGTTTCAAATGTCAATCGATTAGATCAAAGGTCCACTGTACAAACAAAACATTACATAACGAGTCGCTAAAAAACGTGACAGTTCAATTGGGTCCGCGTGTAACGTGCGCGAAGAATAATAGGGAACTTAAGCAAAGACGTTTTTGAGCGACGCACGTCGACCGGAGGTGAGGTCTTCTCTCTTCTCATATGCCTTGACGCTAACAAATTTGTATTGCTAAGTTTCTCTTCTCTTATAAAGACGATTTACCCAAGATTTTCAACAGAACCACTGCCCAATGATGCAAAAAGTCCACTTCCGGTTGACGTCCGTCGCTCAAAAACGCTGTTGCTTAAGCTCCCTAATGACAAAGATGATCGACGGAACGGAAAAAGCCAAAATTTCTTCGAGGTTTGTAACATGCGCTTCGCGATACAACGAATTTAGCAGTGAACTAATATGTGTTTTGTTTCTAACAACTTTCAGACCTTAGCCTCTCATACAGGCTCAGCACTTCAAGCTCTGACCAAGAAACCTGAGGAGGTACTTTTTGTTATTGTGTAATTAACGGAAGCAAAAAACGTAACTGTTGGCTGAGTTTGTGACTTTACAGGTCGCATATTATTGAATAGCCTGCACCACAGACAAAACTAAACTACTGTTTAACTCTGTCTGCGGGGCAACGTGGAAATCCTTGTTCTTGACTCCCCAGCTGTGTGACAGGTTTGAAAAAAGGATTCATGATTGGCCTGCTGAAAAAGCATTTGTTCGATTGATCAAGTAGGTTGAAGGGAAATCCAAAACCCACTTCCGGTAATTCGTTAGGGGGTTCCAAAAAAAAGGTGCTTGGCGCTGCTTCGCAGACGTTACTAGCTGGGGTCACATTACTTTGCAAGTGAGGCTAATTTTTGAAAAGTGCGGTAAGTTTGATAGCGAGTGATTAGCAAGACTAAATTAATTCATTTGCCGTGACTTAATCCTTATTGCACGCTCCCGCTTCCCATTTACTTGTAGCTTTCTGCAGTCAGCGTTGAAAATGCATCGGAGATACTACAGAATCTAGGCAAATTTATGCGGTCCAGACTTAAAATGATGGATCCGAAAGATGCAGAGGCTAGAACTCTCGTCAGCCAAGAACTTGTCCACAGAGTCGTAAGCGTCACATCAAGTCTGATAGAAGCATCTTCAAGGCGTTTGAACAGGTATGCGTCAGTTATTTCTTTTGGAAGAAGGCGTGACAAATGCAACGTGGTTAACGTAAATTTAGGCAGGGTTAAAATCGATACATCTGAGCTTGGTCAGCAGTGCTTTTCCTGTTAAGGGCAGGCGTTTTGCGAGGTGGCCTGTCTTGGCTGAAGGGCTGCTATTCACGCTATTGCACTCGCTCATTGGTATGCTTGCTGATCTTTGCGAATCACAATTTGCTTTGGGAGTTTTTTATCATTTCTTGATAAGTTAAATTGTCTAGTACTACACTCTGGGGCTAATGAAATGGCATGTCCGGTGGGTGTTTTAATGGTATGTCTCCTAAAATGCACGTAAAATTTGGTAGTGTTCTCAAGAAAATGAATATAGTTGATCCTCTATGTGCGACCGCCTTTTCCAAGCTACCAAAACCTCCCACTCAAACTGACGACTGTATTTTGAACCCTTGTAATTTAACAGATTTTGGGATAGCACTTTAGAGCTCTAGGTTAGTAAACTAATTATCGAGAATGACAAATCGTTGAATGTCAAAAGTTGTTTGAAAACTGTTGATTTTTTTAATACAGTAATTGAATATCGTTTGATGGCATTTCCACTATCTTGAGTGTCCTGTGTGCGTACAGGAATGCCACTGTGTAGCGACATTCAATTATTCAAAACTCAACTTTTTTTTACATATTTTGACATTCACCCCGGACGATTTTTCATTTTGATTGGTGATGATGGATACATCGTAACGTCCAATAACGTGTCTCTTAATTTTTCTTGTTAAATGCATTATCAAGCATCTGACTTTCCGACCTCTCGAACAAAAAACGCATTGAAATTATTTTAAATATCCAACGGACCGCCTTTTAACCCTTTAAGTCCCAACAGTGACTAACGTCAATTTTCTCCTAACGATATCCATACAATGTCAAGAGATTAGGTTATGAGAATTAATAAAATGATGACCTAGTGGAAAATGCCTTGATCTTTTATCAAATTCTCTCAACTTATTCTTGAAGGAAATGTATAGAGATCAGTTTAGAGAATTTGTATGTGGATATTGGGGCTAATAAAGGGTTAAAATTTTGATCTCTGTTTGATTCGTACCCTTTTATCCCCATAGCAACACTATGATTAGGAAAGAAGATGAGAGCGATGTTCTGCTCAAAGTAACTGAAGCTGCAGAGGAACTTATAAAGGTTATCAATTGTTTCATTTCATACATTTTATGTTGTTTAAGGTAATGTACCCAATACAGCATCCCAAGGACATTGTTAACTATCTTAATTTGAATGGCAACAATATACGATTTCATCTACAGACGAGTGGCAACTGACTTACAGAGTCTGTTCAAAATCCAGAGCGGGCAAATTAGCTCATCTTTCCAGCTCAGGTAGCCAATGAAAACTCAGGATTTGATTCATTTTTCCTGCTCATGGAGCTTGCTTTACAATAACGCATAATAGTCATTACAAAGAAGTACGGCTCAGTAGCTTTCATTTGAATGGTTACACTTTAGGATTTCATCCACAGACTCGAAAGTTAGAACCACCTTGTATGGCAAAATAAACAGTTCTACGGGAAAGTACAGCACAGTAGCTTTCATTTGAATGGTCACACTTAAGGATTTCATCCACAGACGCAAAAGTTAGAACCATTTGTATAGCAAATAACGTGAATAAGAGTGTGGCGACTCAACCCGGCCTTCAAGCTTCGGTTCTTTTCATGTTTATCCTTTTATTTGCAATCTAGCCTGTTACTTACAGACCTTCTACACACGGTAGTACACTATACTTGAACCGTTACTCGCTGTTTTTACCTACATAACGTGCATTATTTTTTTTTCTTTTAACAGGCTAGGTTATCCACGCAAGTATGGGGCGAGAAGGAACTTCGGGTCGAATCGCGTAACATAAGAGTTATAGCAATACAAGAAAGCTCCGTTTCAAACGCCTTTTTTCATCTTGGTGATGTCAGTTTTCACATGCCAACGGATCTTGAGGAGCAACTACAGGTTACGTCTTCTGACAGGGAAAGGAAATGTTTTGGAGCTGTGGTGACAGTCTACGACGAAAATCCTTTCTTCAGTGAAATGGTATGGAGATAACACGCCGTGTCTATGAATTCTATTCTGCGGCAATACGGAGTTCTTTGCTTCTGTTTACGACGCGAAAATTTGTTATGCGGCTAAGAATGAGTCAATTTTGTGAAATGTTTAGGCGACTTTCACACCGCACGATTTCGAGTCCTGAATTTTACTCACCATTTGCCCAAACCGTGAACCGACCGGTTTGCCCATGTAAATAGGGAGCTTAAGCCGAAAATCGACGGCGACGGCCACGAAAACGTCACTTAAAACTGAAGTGAACTCGCAGTACTTCAAACTTCATCGCGCGTTTTCCATCTTGTTTTCTTCGTCAAATGTTGGCAAATGTTTTTGGAATTGAATTGTAAAGGAGTGTATCAAAGTTAAGGAAAAGAAAAGAAAGTTGTTGTCGTATGTTTCCGTCCTCGACAAAACGTGAATTTACCGTATTCATTCGAATAACCGCCCTGGGCGCTTATTAAATTTTTGGACCTTGAGAGTGGGCGTTTATTCAAGGTGAGCGCTTATTCGAGGCTGAGCGCTTGTTAAATTTTCACCATTTTCGGCAAGTGTAGTATGTTTATTTTGCAACAAAACAATAAATGCTAATAACAAAACGCGAAGAAGTAACAAAGCAAGGTTTCTGTAAAACACTCTGAAGAAAATTCCGTCCTCGGGGAAGTCTGATTAAAATTTATTCACTCAAGTGGGTGGGGTGGGTAGCGCTTATTTGAGTTTGATTGGGAGGAAGAGGGGGTGGGCGCTTATTAACTTTTTCGGTCGTTAGGGTGGGCGCTTATTCGGGGTGGGCGCTAATTCGAGGTTGGGCGCTTATTGGAATAAATACGGTATAGGCAGTTTCACGTTGTTGTCATGCAACGACGGCAAAGAAATGTACAAAAAAGCGTGATGCACGTGCAAAGTTGTTGTTTTGCAAATCAAACCTAGTGCTTTTTTGCCGTTCTCGTTGCTGTCGCCGGCGTAGTTGCTTAAGCTCCCTCATGGTAAATAACCTGTTGTGTGGGACTGTGACACCGTTCCCTCTTGATATGGATTCCATTGTTGTGGTCTCTTTTTATGCCGCAACATTTGGATCTGATCCAGATCCAAATGCTACCCAAACTTGCTTACATATTTCTTTTTCTCTTAGCACCACACTAAAGTTGCCAGTCTCAGCATCGACCGTTGCAATGGAGAAGAGATCCAGGTTAAAAACTTGAGCAGTTTTATCGATATTTCCATTCCTTATGAGAAGCAAAAACTTGAGCAGTCTGCAGAGATTCACACCCTAAGGTGGGAACACCAAAATACACACATCATCAATCAAACAGAGAGGATGACCAATCAAAGTCTGCAAATTCATCTGAAGCCGATTACTGTCCTTCCTGTTGGATTTGTCATCAAACTTACCGCCAGGTACGTTAGCTTGAGTGATGGGTCATATGTTCCCCAGTTTGTTTATGTGTCAGAAATTCTGGCATTAGTAAAAAGACTTTCAATTACAGATAATTATTCCTTCTGAAAAAAGGGCAACGACCGTTTACGAAAGGGAAATTCGCGTACAGTGGAACATGTTTCTCTGCCACGTATTTTTATAACAATCGACCATGATTTTCTAGATGTGTTCCTGGCGTCATCGTTTTATCCGGTAGCCTGTCCATTTCTCTAGAGAAAGTTTGTTTTGAGTGATGAGTCATGTTAGATCAGGGTTAATCACCGACTAGAAATGGTTAGCATTTACATTGTATTTTGGTTTAAGTTGCTCATTGCATGTACTCTATGTACGAAAGCAGTTATTGGCAGCAAATCCGAAAGATTCGAACTTTCTTTACTTGACTCATGACTGATTTGCATATGCTTTATTTACACTAAATTCTCGTTTCTCTTTATCAAGAGGCGGTCTATCGGTATTTACAGCTACGGCTATGACTAATGTACCCGTATCCTTACACGGAAGCGACGTATCCTAAATCTCTTATATCAGGCTAACTCTGAATTTTGTTGTGTTTGTTGTCTTGTAGCACTGCTGAATCAGATTCAGGCAGTCTTAACCAATACACCGTCACAAGTTCAGGGGAACCTGTAGAATTGTACCTCTCTGGCCAACAGCTACAGAATGGTAATCTGATTACACTGTGTATCAAAAAAGAGAGCTTAAGCAACGACGACGGCGACGGCTACAAGAACGGCAAAAAAACAATCGCTTTAGATCAGTAAAACAACAACTTTGCAAGCGCGTCACGCTTTTTTGTACATTTCTTTGCCGTCGTTGCACGACTGCGACGTGAAACTTCCTAATTTCACGTTTTGTGGAGGACTTGGACACAAGATAACGGGTTTCTTTGTCTTTTCTTCGCCCTTCCTGAACGGTACAGTCTCTTAGAATTCACTGAACTCCTAAACAATTCGCCAACATTTGACGAATTGAACGAGATGGAACTAAGCGCGATCAAGTTTGAAGCAGCAGGAATTCAGTTTTCAAATGATGTTTTCGTAGCCGTCCCCGTATTTGTTGCTCAAGCTCCCTAAAGATCCCTTTTAGCTCTAAAATGGGGCCGTTTCGATGAGTAAAATACAATCCTATTTTTATTTCAATTAACGAGGAGTGATAAAGACCCACAGGCTTCAAATGGCTTCAGGAGAGGCTGAATCAGACTCTGTCCTGCAGGGCTAAATTGGCAGTTTCAGGCGGAAGCGAAGCTTTTTTAATATGTAGTGTAACATATAGATACATTGGTTTTGTTTAGATAAACATGCCGTCGCAAAGAAAACAGTTTTAAACATTCCTTTTGGAAAGTATGCATTGCGTGCGTAACCTTGAGCTTAAGTCGTAAAGATAACTGGAATGATTTCAAATCTAAAATTACTCTGATAAATTTACAGAAAATACAATTGTAAGAACTGTTGGGCTTGAGTGCATAGCCAAAATTTGGACCATTCTCACGAGTAGGCGGAGATGAGAAGGTTATCCTGCGTTAAACTACCTCGTTAGGTGGTTTAAAAAAACCTAACCTGGTTAAGAAAATCTATTGCTCTTGCTTGGTTTGCATAACCCGGTTAGAACTCGGTTAAGACTGTAGAAAACCCGGCCGCACTCGCGGTTTTTTTTTAGGCAACGAGTTAACGTTGATTGGTTGATTGGAAATAACTCGGTCAAGTCCCTAACACTGCCGTAAGTGCGGCTGCAGCCGTTGAGGGAGATTGGCGAATACTGAGAGGTGCTGAACGCCCAGTCACCAAAGGTCTTACGTTTTAGTCAGTGACACAGTCAGCAGTTCTTCGCCACTGGAATTGCAGCAATTAACGTAAGAGCTATTATTTTATTAACAGAGCTGAATATCTTTTCTACATTGCATACCTTGGTAATGTACAATTTTATTTTAGCTTCAGGTTCCATATTTGTGAGGGTCGTGCTGAAAGACACAGCATACTATCGTATCAAGTCAGTAAGTTTTACTTTTATCTTTCAGCGTAAAAATTGAGGTAGTAAGGGATTGGATATCTCCCTTGTTCCCTTATCTCTGGTTCATCCGTGCAAAATGAAATAGAATTCGTCTACCACTACCATTATTATATTGTTTCGAAAACTAATTCCTGAATTTTGAGAGTATCAAAAACAAAGTCGTTATTATATGTGGAATTTGTGTAAAGAAACTGAACTTTGAAGTGACCAATAATACCTCTTTGTGATGACTGCAGGTAAAAGGTGTTCCTAAAGTTCTGTACTCATTGAGAATGCATTGGGTGGGGTGCTTCTACTGGAACAAGCAGTACAAAGACTGGTTCAGTGACGGGTGTGAACTGACGGATCAAAAATCCGATACGATTGTCTCCTGCAGGTACACTCGTGTAGTTATAACATGAACTACATGTGTAGTTAACACTTTCTATCCAACCCTTTATACTACGGTCACTAAGAGCTGGTTCCTACTACCCATCATTCAGCTACAACGGAGCTTTAGCATCGACGACGGCAACGGCAGCGAAAACGTCGGTTTTAAAATGAATTCCCGTTTTTTCAATCCAGGCGAATTTCCCTGGAGTTGATTTCTTGAGGAACTCACTCAAGTTTAGAGAGAGAAAACGAGATTCGTCGTCGCTTGTTTACGTCCTCCATAAAACTTGCAATTAGGCATTTTCACGTCGTAGCCGTGCAAGGATGGTGAAGAAATGTACAAAAAAGCATGATGCACGTGCAAAGTTGTTGTTTTGCCAATCTAAACCTATTGCTTTTTTGACGTCCTCGTTGCCGTCGCCGTCGTCGTTGCTAAAGCCTCCTACAAACACGGCGACGGCAACGTGAACTTGAAAAAAGCAGTAGGTTTAATAGCAAAATAACAATAACGTTGCAACTATATCACACTTTTTGGTACATTTCTTTGTCGGTCTTTGCACGACAATAAAATCACGTTTTATAAAATGCCTGAATACATGATGACGAATTGTTGTTTTCTATTTAAACTTGAGTTACTGATCCTTAATTATTTAACTCTAGGAAAATTCATCTACATATGACGTATTGGAGGCGGAATTGAAAATAATCGCCTGTCTTCGGAAAAGATAGTAGAACATTATTTTCTTTGCTTTTTAAAGTATCTTTGAAAATATTCTTTATCGGCTAGTACATGAATAACGTCATCATCATCATCACCTTCATCATCACAAACGTTGTCATTCTCATCGCTGAGGTCATCGTCATCAACTTCGTTATCATCATCGCTATTCGTGTTTTTGTTGTTTTAGGTGTAATCATCTAACAGCTTTCAGCGGGGCATTTTTGCGTCCACCCAATTCACTTCGAGAAGAGCATCTTGCAGATATTAGCAGGTAAGTTTCTTGCAATGTGTTTCCAGGCAGTGCATTCCACTGCCAAGCTGAAAAGTAAGAAAAGTGGGTGAAGACCATAGATAGTTGTTTAGGTTTACTAAGTCAGGGGCACCCAACGTCAATTTTTGGAAAATAACTGTTCGGAAGACGATTTGAGATCTAGAATTTTCGAAACATTTCTTGTAAAATTTCTTGCTTGCCTGCCTCTTCTAGTATTTTCGAACATCTAAAAAATGGTATAATTACCCATTTTTAAAGGATTTTTATCCTCAAAAGTTCACCTAGAATTTTCGGGAGCCTTTTTTCTGGCTGAAATTTTCGAAAAGGTAAGTTTTGATCCCTATAATTTTCGGATCACTAGACTTTCAGCTAGGAATCCGAACAGATGAAAGATTTCTAGGGGATAAAAATACACCTATATCTACCGTTTAAATACTCAAATACCTTCAACAATGCTATGTTTAAGTGGTTTTGCACTATATTCTCGTTGAGTGCCCCTGACTAAGTGAAAGAATGTAGTTACTACGAAGATCATACGAGGACCGTAGTGAAAACATATTCTTCATGTAAGCAGGAAAATGAGTGAAAAACAAATTCTTATATAACAACATGAGGAAATTCTGAACGCACTTGTTACACAACGAAGTAGAGTTGACTTTTGAAAGAAGAGTGGTGTATAGAGGCGAGTAATCTCCAAGTATATATCTAAGGTTCGTGTGCTCCTTCACCTTTTTTTGTTGTTGTTGGTTTGCTTTGGTTGTGTTTACATTTTGACCTCTTCTGGAGTGTGTCCTGGGATTAAAATGACACGGTGAAGTGGCCAATACTCTTCTATAAACAGTGACACGAAAAAAACGCACTTTAAAGCCTCACATTAATCGTCCGTAATCATGAGTGTTTGAGTACTTTTGAAATCATCAACCAGTCAACAGAGTAACTTTTTACATGTACATTAGTTGCTTCCTTCTCTTACTTGTCAACAACTTCTCCTTTTATCGAGCCCTCTAATTGCTAAATCCGGATAAGTATGATCCACATTTTCAAAACTAGCCACCATGTTGAAGGAAAAAACGGTAAACGCACACACGAGCCAAAGGCCCAAACGGCCGGAGCTTATCCCGGTTTCCTTAGCATGAAGTATGTCTAGGAATATTGCAACTCCCCTCTGGACGGGATGCTAGTCCATCGCAGGGTTACCCCCCAGCAATATGTCGCCGCTACTAATTTCTACACCTGGGTGAAGAGAGACAAAGTGGAGTAGTTCCTTGTCTAAGGAAACAACGCGACGGGCGAAGCTTGAATCCCGGACCTCCAGATCTAGAGTTCGAGGTGTTAACTTCTCAGTCAGTCACCCCTCCACAGGAAACAGAGAAAAAAATTCTCCTTTAACCCAGCTGTGTGTCTGTACTCTTCTACAATGTGGATAATCTTAAATTCGTGTAACATTAAGCGTGTGAATTCTATTGGAAAAAATGTTTTCATGTGTAGTATGGTACGAATGTTTCAGTTGTGTGGAATACATGAACGTCGTTGACCTCAGAGCCTTTTGTCTTTATCTCATGTGTTTCATTCTTATAATCTTCTCTTTCGTGTATTTTTAATACAATAGAAATAATAGACTAACCTAACCTTGACCGGTTTTAACCTGTTTGTCATGTTCTAGTTTCGTTTAACCGGGTTGACAGATTTTCTAGTGATTTTTAAGCTACAAGCAAACGGACTCAACAATCCCCTACATTGTTGGCCAAAAAATGTTTGGAGTTGTTGCGTACGTTTGCAAGTAGCTACGCATTTGACCGGCTTCAAACTTTGCGCAACAACTCCCAACAACTTACAACGACATACAACAGGGTGTGCAAACGGACGCAACATGTTACTTGTAACAATGTTGGGAGTTGTTGGCCAACAATGTTGCGTTCGTTTGCACGGGGCTTAAGGTCGATGAATGTCTTGGTTTTTGATTGGTCGACTTAAAAATAAGAACGGTATTCATTTAGTGGATTCATGTATTCGAAGGTATAAGCGCTAACTCGC